AAAGATGTGCTTTCGCTTTTGTATTCAACATAGTTTTCGACTTTTTTATCCGAAACATTGCTGACCCTGGCAAAGACAAATTTCTCATTTTAAAGGTAGTGCCCGGTTCAAGATAATCAGCTATATGTCTTGTTGATCTCAAGTACGCAGACGATATTTTTCTGCCTAGTAGTAGAGGGAGCGGACTCTGTCACCTGACAGCTTCCGTATGTAACAGTGCAGCGAAAGCCGACCTCTTCCTTAATGCCCTTGAGTCAAAAGTGATGTGTAACCCCCCAGTTACGACTGATCCGCTGGTGGAACAGAGTGAAGTTGGTGTGTTTATCTCAGCTCAGTCATCTCTAGCGATGGCACCATCCAGTCACATTTGAATACCAGGATCGCTCTGGTATCATGTGTTTTGAGAAACCTGTCAAATATTTGGGATTAGAAAACGGTAGCTCTTTCCACAAATATCCGCCTGTACCATTCCTCCGTCAGGTCAGTGTTGTTGTACGGCATGGAAACAGTTGTTCTAGCAAAGGAGTAAGAACGACGGTTGAACTGCATGCAGCAGCGTGGCTGCGACGCTTTGTGATAGTTAAATAGCAGGAGGGCGTAGGGAATCTCCGTTCTCTTCCAGGCTCAGGTGACCTCAACAGACGTAGAAATTAAGAATAGCACTGTTAGACGGGCTGGTTAAACAGAAACCACTTACTCCGCCCACGTGGAAGCTTAAACACGGCTGACGTCTACCGGGTTGGTCAGCTTGCAAACTGGAGAAACAGAATGCAGTAGCAAAAGTGTTGTAAAACTGTTAATAGAACGGGCATCTCGTATGATCTGCTTATGGAAGCGGCACATACACAAGCTACCAAAGCTTGAACCGCAGAGTGAGCTGGATCTGCACATCTGATCATTACAATGGTTTCCGCTGAAGGTTTTCTTCCTGTCTTTCAGCGAAATGTTTCAAAGGGCAAAGAATGGAGACGAAAGTTTGTACCGTCTTATGTTCTTGTCGATCGAGTCCAACAGATTATTATTCAGAACAATAACGTCTGCACGGTCGTCTTCACTTTTTGCGTCCTCGATGATTGATAGCGTTGTTTGGTGTTGTTGTTCAAAATTCCGGTCACCTGTGGAAATCTCTCGACTCATATTGTGCTTTGAACCATTGAAGTTGAAAGATTTATATTCGTAATAAAGGAGTTTGTAGCCGTTAGAGTTAATGATCTCTGTTGCATTTCTATAATACGTGCTGCTTATGGTACTCGTTGTTATCCAGTTTCTGATCTGTACTGATTTACGTTTCGACGACACTGGCCGGACATACCTAATGGTGAAGTTAGTATCGGCCGCGTGCACTATACTGTATTCATCCAGTGCAGTGACATACGCTCATATGACTCAAGATGGTGATCCCGGTCGGTACTTAATGTGTAAATCATTTAGTCGCGATTTTCGCGCTTCGCAGAATTAGCTAAGCGTATTATCACTGTATATTCAGCTGGGTAGAGCGTGAACCACTGTTCAGATTTACTCACAAAGACAGCGCAATGAAAATAGGCGATGCCACCTATCCTATGAACTGAAGGTATCGTTTGAAATTCTAGTCACTGAGCTGGAAACTTTTGATACTTTGTTCTTTGTTTAGTACATTGTTTTTCATTCTGTTATCGACTTTAAAACTATTTATCGCAATCAAAAAATCTATCAACAAAGCAGGGTTTCAGTTTCAGCGGTTTTCCTCTGAAACGCCACTGTTCACTGGAGTCAAAATGTCCAAAATGAAGCATTTTGTTTAATCACGCTTGAAAACAAGTGTTGTAGATAAATTTGTACTTAATACGGTAACTACTGTAATAATTGCTTTATTTTGAGTTTTTGAACAATTACAGTGCGCAATATGAGCCATTTTTTGTTCGGTTGGTGAAATGATAGCTTACGTTTCAAACTCTTTCACAGATTTTCAGACAGTTATAGTTCGTTGATTGTCGTTGAACTTGGCTGTTCATATTTTTACCAGAAAGATGAATTTCAGACCCGGGTGGTTGCTTTCCTAGTATTTCACGGTTACGACGAGATTCACTCACTCCGCACAAAGTTCGTGAATTTATTTTGATTCTAACCGTCGGTAGCGATTTATCAGCCTGATGGTCCTGCTACTTTACGGATGACAGGTTTCTTTGTTCAGCACTAAATAACTACATTGTTATACTCATGCAGTGTCCTTGTGCAGAAAAAATTACTTGAAACTACACGCTCTTGGCTGGCTTACCACTGTGACGCTTAGCACCTTCGTAGTCATCGAAGTCACCTGCGATCAGGCAGAGCTTGAAATGCAAAGTTGCCGTGAGTGATGTTTGACCAGATTGAAAAGGTGTCTCTGATACTTATTAGATTTTGTTACTGTTGTAGTGAAGCTGGTTGTCGTCACTGCAAGTGCTTGTC